AAGCAGTGGTATCAACGCAGAGTACTAAGGTTTCTTTACCATGGCAGACCAAGAATTTTGAACGAGGCCCCATGCCATTCGGGAACCATACCTTAATAAATTTGTAATTAATGACCGCCAAAAATGTTCTAGATTGCAACAAATGTTTGGATAAGAAGTAAGTTTTCTAAGTCCTCTTGCTCCCAAATAATATGTTTCTAATAGCGTGTATAAGAAACGAGACCCTAAAAAATTGAAAGGCAAAAAAAGAATCCCTAAAATTATACGAATGCACGATAGAGCCAAGCAAGCTCTTCAAAATGACACCAGAGATACGCAAAAATCGTGATCCGTAAACTTTGAAGCTAGATCTAGAACATCTAAGCGTCCTAAGGGTCGAATCTCCTGAACAAAAATCATACATAACTCTTACGCATTATAAGCACTTACTCGATGTTTTTATGGCTGATAATTTCAACAAAAAAAAACGAATTGCCAAAATCAAATTGCTCACTTCATACTTATGGTGACTGTAGTATCCGGGTTTTGAAGAAAATGGTAAACGTGGAGAAAATGGAACATGCGGCACTGGATCTCTTTCGTTGACGACCCGAAATGCGTAGTCGATCTGCGAAAAAATAATGACCAAAATTTCAGACCTCACGACAGTTTGTTAAGATTTCTCTTCTTAGTTTTTAGATTTTTCTAAACTATCTCACGTTGAGCCATATTTGAAAGTTTCTAGATTTTTCTAAATTATCTCATGTTGAGCCATATTTGAACGATATGATACAAACTTCACACAAACTTGAAAATGTACAAGTTTCAAAAAAACTGGAGAGAATTTTAAAAAGTCTGCGTAGAGTTTCAGAGACTTGAAAACTCATGCTAATTGTGCTTTACTCCACCATCAGGCACAGTGGGTAAATAAGCACGAAAAAAAATTGAATACGAAAACGTAGTGGGAGAAGTGAATACTGGCATACGGAAGAAGAATAAGAACAAAAAAACTTATATAAAGTAGAGGTGGTAGTTTTTAGTATACTGACATAGTGTACTGACAGAGCAAGGCAGAGCGGGTATTCGAGCATGCTGTGTAAATGATTATGTAAATTTCTACCTTTTTATTGAAGTCTTCAGCATATGCAGCATTGCCTGTTCTTGGCTCTCCGAATGTTACCAGCTTTATCCGCTCATTTATCCGCTCAGATATCTTGTTATAAGTTTTGGCGATGTGATACGCTGCCAGAGACGCCATGGCACCTCCGAGCGATGGACGGTCACCTAAAGTTTCTGGTCACATGAAAACGATCTTTGTGCATTCAATACATACCCATATTTCGTACTTAGGGTGTCGTTCGATCTGGTTCTTGAAGGCACGTTCTAGACCTTTTACGCCTTTTGCGTCATTTCCCCACACATTTGAGAAGGCATTGTAGAAGTACCAAGACACTTCACCTGACCCCATGGGGACCTTAAGCAACAGCTGATCTACTTATTTCACACAAATTACCACAGCAGCGCTGGTGGCAACTTCGTTTTTGAGTTGACTTAGATAATTGGTGCCTCTGTAATAATAACTGTTGAGCTGCAGGGAATTCCAACCTGAGTGTCACGTTCGGCGCAGCTCGGGTTGCCGCTCCCATCGTGGCATCCAGACTGGCATCCCTGAAAAACATTTCCAAGTTCCTTTACTTAGCACGTAAACGAAGGCAGCGTTTTGGAAGATACAATGCTTTGCAATCTTAACATAACATGGTATTAGTCCCCCAACTAGGGACACTGATCCGAAGCAATTTCTTTATTTCAAATAGTCTTGCAAGATTTGCACGTCTGCTCGCTGTTCTACTTGGTGGGTATTCCCTAGCTCTAGCATTCTGTAAAGTTCTCTATTTTGAAAAGGATTACACAAGAAGTTCACAAGCGTTATGAGTGAATTCATTCATCGGTCTGTTTGGAGACGTGTGGACATTTTAGACGTGATTTATATTGTAAGCTGCCGGAAGCAAATCAAACGTTTTGTTTAGAAGCAGCGTTGATCAAATCTAGACTTATGCGGATCTCACGTTGATAGTAATTTTAGGGCTCTTTAATCAAGACACTGCGACTAGACACTGAGCGGCAGCTCAGATTCTGCGCTTGCGGCTGAGACTTTCATCTTCAAAGCAGACCTCAGTGTCTCAGTAACGGACAAATGCTGCAAATGTTCTTTAGCACAGGCTGTCTTGACTAGCACGAAAGTGATGGCGAACGAGGTGTTTGCAGGAAAGCTTATGCGAAACCAAAGCGGATCCGAAATCATGATTAATTATTTTGTTGTAATGTGCTATCAGGTCGACCTTGTCTATAATTTACAACGGCCTCCCCTCAAACACTACGCAGGAAGTGTATATGTGCTGCGAGGTTGCTCGATAATTGGCCCACGAATCTGGTCAATACCAGGTAGTTCTGTTCAAACCCATGAGCCCAGAAAAGTGATTATGAGCATAATATTGGTCGCACTACCCATATCCAACATGTGCTTCTTTTCTCGTCCTTTTCAGCATCACTCCGAATAGACCACCAGGTGTCATATTGTGACGTAAGGCAGTGATTTGAAATGTTGGTAACCGCTTCAGTGCGTGCACGTTGAAGTTTTAAAGCGCTCAAGCAGAGCAATGATCATTATGAGAGCGTATTATAATTTAAGCTTGCCGCTTACGATAGTCACCTTCACTTTTGAATTATTTGAACGCTAAAACCATACTGGAGGGCTTTGGCCGGCCGCAGTCATACCCCTCCTGACAGAAAGACCGCAACTAGCAGAGCTGGATTCAATAGCAATGTGAGTTATAATGCATCCGTCCGCACAAGCATATCCTCCTATATATCGTATGCAACATCGAACACGAGCCGCTTCCACTGAGATGCTTGGCTCATCTCCTGCTGACGACATTACAGTCTTCTTTTGTGTTCACTGAAGTGGGCGGATAGCTTAATTCCCCGAAGATAGACGCTGATATAAGCGTTGCACATGTTAGCTTCAGAGCGAAGCTTTCGGTTCGTTATCTAGCCAAAAATTATTGTAAATACGACTGCTGTAAACTGAAGGTAGAGCTGACCTGAAACTAAGAACTATCGCCGACTGTTCGGTTAGTGTGGCTAGGAATCCATAGCAGTCATTCTCAAAACCATCGCATTGAACAAGATTATGGTCAAAGAACTGAAAAAAAATCTCGTTACGAATATTCTGGTGTTTCAAAATGTAATATAGAAGTTTTGAGGATAATTTTATTATTCAGTTATGACAAACGTACTAGCGTTACAACCTTTCAAATTTCATCTACAAACGCAGAATCATTTTGCTTCCTGCATGTATTGCAAGCACTATGCACCACTAATTTTATGAATGTTTACCTCACTGCTGGGCAAAAATACCTCATATCATCTGATAAGTTGTTGAACTTTAAATTAGAAAGAAAAACTTGGAGTGACCATTTGAGCTTAGAAGTATGACACTGAAGTCAGTCATGAATGCTGAATAAAGCCGCAATCGTTACCTACCGTACACTCTTCTGAAAAACTTGTAGGTCCAACTGAATGCACTATTTGGTACAGCACTGCAGGTGGTGCAGCAACGATTTAATGGTGCCTTGAGTATGGTCTTTATGGCAGAGAAGGTTCCAGGATCGAATCTTTTCACCGCCAGCTTTTTGTTGAGATGGCAGTTTTCATCTGAGTTCATCAACATAAATCTAACTTCAAGCGGCCATTACTAAAGCCCACATGCACGTACATCCCCGTGGAAAGGGGAGGGGATCTGAGAGGGGACACCACGTATTTCGCCACTTTAGATACCTTCTTTCTGCTTTCTCAATCTGGTTACGAACTCTCATACCCTGATACCTGCGCATAATAGTTGCCATGGTACTGTCATACAAGAACACAATTTCACTATCTTGTGTGATCCGCTGGAATCCTCAAAGGATCACCTCTCATTACAAAGTCATTTACCTTCTCAAAAAGTCAACGAAACCGTTGGAACATTGTGCTGAGGATGTAGTATGACACTATCGAACACGACTATAGCTAAAACAAGTAAAATCCCAGAAATTCAAAATCTTCGATGAACCACTGCTCGCGAGCTAGAGATTATCGGAAATTCACAATCTTTGAATTTTACTTCTCCCGCCAAAAACATGTTTGGCTGTGCCAATTATATCCTCATTACAATTTCACAGTTTTCGTTGAGTTTTCAGAAAGATAATTAGCGCTGAAAATGAGAGTTTTTCATTATGTTGTGTGATCCCCCTGAGGATCCCCATGGCTGTAACCTTGCATCCATTATACGCACGTATATGAGAACCTTCCTAAGTCAAGTAGAGAAAAAAGGTTAAAGATTATTGTAGTAGCGAGATATGACGCTTCCCCTTTCAGGAAATTCTCCTCCCCGCGGGGGGGGGGGGTGCACGTGTATGCAGGCCTGAAAGCGCTTTCCTTTTTAAGGCATCTCTCCATTTACTAACAAGAAAAAGCGTACTTTTTCTTTCGAGCAATTAACGCACGCGATAAAGATCTGCTTTAACATTTTACGCAACGTGCACAAGCAAAGATGTTTGAATTTTAAGCAGAACTTTCTGTACTTGCAAATAATTATCATGCTCAGCTCGTGCTGTCATGTCCTCTTTCGAAGAAAAGAGCAGATATAATAAAAAGCGAATTACCAAGTTCCCATGAGTTCCATTATAGCCTAAGCGATTGAGTATGCAGCCCCTTGGCTCATCCGAATAGGCGGCGGCAGCCAGAGGGAACATTTGATTCCTAACGAAGTTGTAGTCAAATAATCTGACAGCATTGAGTGAAGCCGCAAGGCAAAGTGTAACGACTAGTGTGAATGCCCTGCAGAAACATTAAGCTCATCTTCTATGTAGCTCTACGTCCCTTACTTACATATTAATCGTTTTGTTCGCCAAGAGGCAACGGTATCACGGATACTAAGATCCAAGCCTGTTGCTGAAAAAATGAGAAAATTAGACGGATTAGTGTCGTCTCTGCCATTCTGCAATTCGATATATTTCTTAGAAATGAAAAGAAAGAGAGAAATAGTATCTGGCTGCGCAGTGGACCGATTATGATTGTTTCCGTCACGCAACGGTATCGTGATGTCCTCAGGATATGTGACAAAGTTGCAATTGTTACTCGTTTTAGAAAAGCACACTCATACTGATTTAAGTAAAGCGAAGGTCAGCGAGAATTGATTGAAAATGGTTACAAAAAAGTTTTCGGTTTAAGACTAGCTATAGCTTGCCTGTGAAATTCTAGAATGAGCACAGTTACTCGCACCACTTTCTAAACTGAATCCATACTGCTAAAATAAGGGTATTGTTTTTGTAGGAGAGGAGTAGGGATATTTGGAAGTCAAATGCACAGCATGTTTTGTAGATATTTCTTACATACTCTGCGCTGTAATAAATACGCTGCATTAATGCCCTTAATTTTTAGTGGTCGTCGCTCTCCTCAGCGTTCTTTTTTTCTGGCTGTCGGAACAAATTGTGATTTAGCAGCTTAACTGCTGCAAGGTAGGTCAATGGCAATTTTTTTAGTATGGTTTGTTAGGTCTCAGTTTGATGCGTGATCCCATTATAGATACGTCAAATTTCCGACAGCCCTTTTTGATTTTAAAATTATTCTGGTATTTGAGCAGACGACAACCAGTGATTGCTGATGAATATATTAGGTTGTGTAATAAATTCTGCCCCATTTTTTCTTTCGATTTTTTTCTCAATAATTCCCGCGATGTTCTGTAAATGGTTTATATGCATTTGAAAGCTTTAAGCCTTTTTTTACTAAACTTTCAATTCGGGTTTCTACATCAGATGACATGAAAAAGTTCTACAGCGTCAAATTTGGAATATCAAACAGGGAAAAAGTTCACTTTCGACAACTACGTTACGTCGCCTTCCTAATTAGTCAGATTGCCTACGAATAAGCTTGAAGAATTTGCTACACGTGAGCAAAGAATGCTCTAACTTCTATTGCGCTTCAGGAGTGCTGAAACTTTTCAAAAATCATTTCTGTAGACTTTAGAAAAAATTCTTCTTTCTAACGCCTTTTTTAACGTTGGTGTTGGGCATCATCTGAAAGCATCCTGAGGAAGACGGTAGGCGGATCATCTAAAAAAGACAGAAGGGATAGTTTGTGGCTTCAAAATTACCGAATTCGTAGGTTAAATACTCAAAATGCTAATTTTCGGAGCTACACAGCTTGGGTACGCGAGACGGCGAACATCGCCGTAACGAAGTCTTGCCTTGCCGACTTCTAAAAAATGTCAGGGCTACTTATATGGAAGTATTGAAGCAAATTTTTTATGCGATCTTTGAAACAGAATATAGAAATCTTGCGCAAACTTGAAACGCCTTTTTTGGGCCTTCCCATAAGTTCGTCGCGTTTTCATTCTTGTCTTAATTTCAGGGCCATTGACTTGCGGCA